AGCATCACCCATGGATGAGTCTCAGGTTTCATTAGCCCATCTAAGGCTTTGTTGCTCTAACGTCACTTGACTTTTATTTTCCTTTTCTTCCGACCAACAAGAGTCATAATTACGAGGACAGCTGGAGGGTTTTACCAATTGAACATAAGAAAATTACATTCTTCAGCGTTTGCTTAAATAATACTGCTGTTTTTCTTGGGAGGACAGACTCAATAGGTCACAGTTAAAGACATTTCATGTGAGCCGCTTTTCAGGTAAAGTCTTTTTCAAAGCCCGGATCATCTCACTTGCATGTCGGATTTTTGGAGGTTCCAACACTGTATCACTACTGATGGCCAAAACTGGTGTAAACTTTTGAACTCCTACAGATAAGTGAATAGCTCTTTGATAAACTCTGGTAAATTTGACATGTTTATGGAACCCCTAAAAGTGTGAAATCCTAGATCCTTACCTAGTTTGACATTTCTTGGTGATACACCATTGACAGTTCCTTTGAGAAATATTGGACCTCCACCTGTCTGGATTACATGACGGGGGATTTTATAGATAAGGGGATGAAACTTTGTGGAAAACAGGAGCTGAATAATGCGAAAGTGCACATCAGTGACATAGCTGTCTGAGAGTGGGGGAGATGTGTAGTTCAAGGATGTGTGTTTCAAGGTGGATTTATTGTAGTTACCACTTTACAGTGAGTGTCAGATCATCAGAGGCTATTCTGTTGGATTGAAGATTGTTAGTTCTATACCAGGGAAATGCTTTGTCCAAGACAGACAGACCCAAATCTGCATGAAAAGAGGTTCTCAGTCAGCCTGGAGAAGTGTTATAGTGGGGAGGAAAATAAGTCTGAAAGTTTATAAAAAGATTTGTTTTGGTTATTGACTATAATTACTTGTTAGACAGCAGGTCCAATATCCATATGACATACTGTAGTGTGGGTCTGCAGAAGTACTATGTACTATGTACATGCCTCAGGAAGGCCCATGTCTAGTCTTACACAGAGCTCACCACCCTCTCACCACATTCCACCCCTCTGTTCTCCCCTCATCCTCCCCCTTAGTGCTATTGGGCCTGGGTCTACTGCTGCCTCTCTGCTAATGAGAACCATTCCCATCCAGCACCATATAAACCCACTAACACACACTTACCTCTGATCTCAGACCAGTAAATGTAGTCACTGTGGCCTGGTCCCACCACTTTACAGCTGCTAATTTAGCCACACAGCCCTGTGTTATCATAACCTTTCATGTAAAAAAGAAAGGAAAAGAGGGAGAGGAAAATAAATTGGTAACGTAGGTGCATATGGTACTTTGGGGACTGTTAAATATATAGAACACAAGAATATAGTGATCTAATAATGGGAAAATGTCCACCAGATGTGGGATGGTGTAAATAAAAATATCCAGATTGCGTGTAGTACATGGAAGTGATGTGTATATTTGATGACGCCGCCTACTGTAGATCCCCATTGGTTACAGCCCTGCTCAAATCTGTCTGTGATGTTTGTGGCTGCCTGACTTACAAGCAGCTGTTTTGTGCAAGAACAGCACCAGATTTGACAAGTTTAAAGTACATCAATTAAATTGCAAATAAACTGCTAATATTACTTGGTCACATTTTTGTTATACTGACAAAACATATACACCACCTCAATAGCGATGATTGGTGATTGTCCCAGCAGATTATAAGGGAAAATTAGGTGTAAAGGTGATGGAAAATATTCATATGATTCTGTGTAAAAACTAACTTTTAATTTATTTACTACTTACCTTTTCTTTCCTTTGTTTTCTGTCCATACCATCCTGGGGACAGAAAGGCTCTAAGGTTTCTCATGTTTCCTAGCTTTCAGTGGAGCACAGCAATATGTGGCTTTGTGGATCCAAGATGACAAACTTGTTCCAGTGGAGTGTTTGACTTTTTTTCCCGTTTACTTAAGAAGAATAACGTACAGCTCTGTAACTGTAATAATTTGGCAAATGATTGATTAAAGGAAAGAAATGCCTTGCAAAAACAGATAGAAATTGTGCGCTCTGTACAGAAAGTTGTTGACACGCTGGAAAAAAATGGTTCCTCCAAAGGCACCACAGCTCAACAGTAGTTTATAGTTAATCAGAGCTGTACTACATCACTAAGGCAAGACCACCTTTCTGAGACGATGCCATTAAGTTTGTTTCAAGTCTCAGCGTTGGTGATCCACGTAATTACAAAGCGTACAGTCCGACAGAACCTTTTCCTTTTTAATAGAGGGTGATGTATGTAAGCACTCCCTTCTTTCATGTAAAGGAAACCCCACACATATAATTATATCATTAGTTGAAGGAAAAATAGTCTGCACATATTTTGTCACTTTTCAAACAAAATATTCTCTTAAATGTGACAATTGGCTGCTCACATGTGATAGTAAATTGACTATGTTTGGGTTGTGGACTGTTGGTTGGACAAAACAAGTCATTTGAAGACATCACCTTGGGTTCTAGTAGGGGTAATAAAAAGACAAAAAAACAACAAATTCTTTTTACTCATTTTATGCAGATGGTGGTGTAGTGTGTTCTTCATACTATGACAGTTTTACTAAAATTACATATATAAAAAAAAAAATCATATGTATCATGATCAGTATAGTATTTCCAATACACAGCCCTAGGCTCTAGGCAATTATTTTCTGACATATTAGTTGCAGCCCATATGGGACTCCTCTGCTCCTCTTCTGTTGTCATGGTCATCTTTTCTGACATTGTTTTATATTTTTAAATATGTTTTGCTAGACTTTTGCCCCCAGTTATTTCCATGCCAGGGTGCGATTACCTGCCTTATCCTCTTGCAAACTATGAAAGAGCAGAACTAAGTAGCACAGTAGAATTAAGGGGGGAAGAAATGCTGATTTGCTCATTGCTATTGACCTCTGCTTCTAGTGTCCCTAGCCAACATCAAGGCTCCTCCACTCCCTTTCCCGTTCTCAGTTTCCTTCTGTCATAATGAAATCTACTCTTTAATTACAGCCACCATTTCTTTGCACTTCACTTATATTATAATATATTTGCCTTTTAAGTAGGCACTTAGTATGGCTTTTAACATTTCCCCCCTGAGCAGTATGCATAGAATAGACTGATTTCATTTAGGTCTCAACAGCCCCCTCTTGCCCCCTACCACTCAGCACACCCATCTCCATCCTCTTACCCACTATTTTCCTGTCTAATTTTGCTGTTTGCTTTTTTTGTCCTCTCTTCCCTATCAATTTGGGTCCTGCAGCCTTTTGTCCCTGAAATAACTGTGAGCTCCACCTACTTTCATCGGCCCACAATTTGCATGGTGGTGTGCCATAGTCCTCCCTCCAACCTTTGCCATATTTTTCTCCCGAAGCCTTTTGTGAATACTGCTCACGGTTCGAAATAGGCTCTGTGTACCTGGAAGCACTAAAGTACTGGAAGCAACCTGAATTGGTTTTAACTGCCTGCTACGACCGCAACGTCTCAGTGCAGATTAGGCCTGAATGGGACTGGAGGGCATGTGGAAGCGTAGTTGACAGGATTAAGTGGCTATTGAAGTGACTTTAGCTTCTTTTTTATAGAGCAGATGACAAGAAAAGAGAATAATTCAGCCCCCTCCTTCCTCTCTTCCTCTTGTCTTCCTTAGGCAAAGAAGAACACTATCTACAAATAGGATCCCTTGAAGGGTTTCGGATACCCAGTGAGACTTAGTGAGAATCTCTTTCTTGCTGTAATTAGATATATCTGATCTTAAACATTTAGCTATTCATCAGGGCCAGTTGTTCCAGGAACAAATGATTAAGACGTTTGTGCAAAGATTGCGATTATTGGTGTGCACTGTTGTGTGGGTGTGAATCTTTGACACATGTGAGTGTGCATGTAGAGGCGGGAGACGTGATGATGAGCATGTCAACAACTGGTTTACTAGTATTTCATTGTCTGGCAGTCCCAGTAAATAATTTATCTTTTTATGTTGTTAGGATGGAAAACATGAATAATTTGACTCCTTTTGGTGCAGCACGCAGTCACTCATTCAATACTGCTTAAAAGATTTAATTAATTTAAAAATAAAGTGGCCACCAAAACCAGCTTGTTGCATGTTTTTCTAAACTTGTAAGCATCACCTGAAGAGCAAAGACACTGCAGAGGGAAGCACCAAAATTGAAAAAGTAATGTAATGTGTATGCTATGAAGAGGTACCCAATACTGTGAGGCTTTACTCAGAGAGGGGTTGCTTTAAACACACTTGAATAAACCAGTTGTGTAGATTTTCTTGAAATGAAAACCCTGGCAACAGCATGTTGAATATTGCAATGCAGCAATCTCAGTAGCATCTTAAAATGCCTGTACTTTAATCTTACTTATCTATTCAGTAATTGTGTAACTAATAAAGCAGAATCATTTATAAAGTATGTTTTCCACCTAATATTTATAGTAACTATAAATGTACAGACCTTTTTAAAACATTAACTACAAAAACAGAGCTACACTGAGTTTTCCCATCTCACATTTTTTCATGACTCAGCTCCAAACACACACTACTGACACCCCTACACATTCACTTTCTGCCCTGCCTAGATATTCAGTAGTGTGGCAACATTAGCATATGAGTGGCTCAGTGTTTGGGTGAGTTTGTTCTCAACAAAGAGAGCCAAAGCACAGGTCAGCGTCTCTTATCCACTTCAATGGACTGCTGAAGGGCAAACAGTACTCCCAAAATGAAACGTTTCCAAACTTTCGCTCCAGTCTGGAGGAAAAGGCCTCCTTCTGGATCTTCATGTATAACTGTAGATATTATGAAGATGAATGCAGCAACAACCTTTAATTATTCATTGCCCTTAGCCCTGTATTGATGCTGTGTGTGCTCATGTAAGTAATGTATGCACCAAAGACATGTATTTGTGCATTCCTGCTACTACTGTCTGAGTGTTGTGTACGTTTATGAAGTGTACACAAATGCATGTATATGCCTGTGTGCCACCGTGTGCTTATGTATGTATATATTTGTGTTGACAGGGAGAGCGGTTGGCTCCTGCCCGCAGCCTGGCAGTTGTGTACCGAAGCATGGCGTCATCACCATCACTCTGCAGGCCCCTCGCTGCGCTACATACCCCGCAGGGCGGTTCTCTACTGCCCTGGCAATGATGAGCGAAAATTGAGGAAACTAGCCTCGCTGGATGTCGACTGCGCCGTCTTGGACTGCGAGGATGGTGTAGCCCTCAGCAAAAAGGTACACAAATACACAGATGCACATGTATAAATGAAAGGCAGCTTCATATGAGCAGGTCAGCAAGGAGCACACAAACACACACGCACAGCTGTGTGATCCTGAATGACTTTAATTCTGTCTCCCTCCTTCAGACAGGTGCTTGGTCTTAATCACTGAAAGGAAAACTACCTAAGGGAGATGTTTAAAACAAGCACATTTCACCCTATTATGATGGTATAAAGGCAGTGGTGCCCCCCTATCTGAGTCCTTTAAAACAAGGTGACCATGTCCCACTGGGTGAGCAGCGGGAAAGCACCAGATGCAGCAGGTTAAAAGCATTCTCTTCCCGCCCACACGACCTCCCCATTGGCCCTTCTGAACTGCCCATGAAATTGTGATTGGAGAGTGGGATAAAGAAGGGGCCCGGGTAAAAAGTTAACTAACAAAGGTTTTTAAGTCATGATAATAAAGATGATTGATATGGCTGGAGGCTGTTCCTGTAGTAGACAAAGACAATTAGATGATGGCCTGTGTGACTGACAGGCTAAAACTGTGACCCTTGCGATGGAGTTGGTGGATGTCAGAGCTTCTGTCTTTATTATGTGTTAGAGGGGGAAATGTGGAGAGGAATGCAGCAGTGACGCAGCCATTCAGGCTTGAGGAGAACTCAGACACTGGACTCTTGAGCTGTCAGCATGTGACAGGTCCACGTCTCTATCTTATTTCAACAAAAGTATCCTGCTTGAACCCACTTATTTCTTTCACCAACCCACTCGTTTCACATAAAACGGTAGACATTTTCAGCTCTGTCTGAGCAGGGAACGATTATGAATACTTAATATGATATGATTCATTGTTTTCTGTTCTTTTCAAAAGCCTTTCCTCTGTCAGTAATTAGCTGGTGGGTAGTACCTGTAGAGGATAGCATTAGTCCCCTGTATATCCAATAAGGGGAAAATGACATGAGCTCCAGGGCAGCTCAATCCCTTAACATGCAGAATACTTCAGCAGGCTTGCCTCCCTGTCTTCCACTTACAGCAATCAGAGTAATGCACTTCAAAATACCAACAATACATTCTGGAAAATAGTATTTTACCTCAATAGTTCCTTTCCTAATAATTCCATTACTTCTCTGATCTGGCTCCATCAGCTCTACATGATATAATGCATGATAGATTTCAACCATTTCTGACACCATAGGTCCATGTTGGCTTTTAAAGAGTCTGACACAGTGTGCCAAAATCCTGTAACCTATTATGTGTTTGCTAGGTCGTACTGTGTAATATAAAAATTAGTTATTTACTCAATAACAAAATGCACCTTTCCTACTGGCACCCTTTCTTCACTTCTCACACTCTCAGCTTCTTCTCCGCTGTGGCAATTGGAAATCCATGGGGGTTGTGTGTGTGTGTGTGTGTGTGTGTGTGTGTGTGTGTGTGTGTGTGTGTGTGTGTGTGTGTGTGTGTGTGTGTGTGTGTGTGTGTGTGTGTGTGTGTGTGTGTGTGTTTGAGAGAGTGTGTGAGAGTGAGAGTGTGTGTGTGTGTGTGTGTGTGAGAGAGAGAGAGAGAGAGAGAGAGAGAGAGAGAGAGAGAGAATACCACTAAGATATAGGTGTTCAAAATTTCCATTTTCAAAAGTGTCTTGTCTTTATTTGTCTTTTTTATCACACACACATAGGGGGGTATTTACTAAGTAGTTGTAGCCCCTCCTCGCAGATATTTACTAAAAGGTTGCACTGAGAAAATATTGTGTGTTAGGATTCATGCAATATGTATTTTAGGGTGTTCGTCTCAAGAGATGCAAAACATGGCATGAGAGATGAAATGTTTTACAAATAGAGGCTGCAACAGATTTAGTCATTGTCGATTACATTTAGCATCCATGTTCGTCTGACAACTATTATTTTAATTTATAAAGATGTATACACTTTTTATTTATTTACTTATTATTATGTATTTATTTATTTTTAATTTTATATACTGAGATGATGTGTGTATATAACAAGTGATACAATGTAATACATTTGGGGATTGGTGACAAAGCTGACATGAGTAAATACAAACAGCAACAAATGGTTATGATTGAATATGGATTGAAAGTGTAACCAAAGGACTGTAGCTGTAGGGTGTGTGTATTAGAGACGGTGCAGGGCAGTCTGGGAAGTTTATTTGTAAAGTTTGACTGTGTATTGGGCTTGTAGCGCTGCCAGTATTTGAGTGACCTGCACAACAACACTGCACCTGAACGCATCCTGAGTAGACACTGGTGTAGTACTGAAGCTGTTGCTGCTGTGCTGCTAGCATGCTACTAACTACCCCACATGTGTAGACACGGTGTAAATTCTGTTTTATTGGAAGCAAGAGTGTAAAGTCAACTTTGGTCCCTATTCAGTAACCGTTCAGATAACTAGCGACTGAGCAAAAACTTAACTTTATTTATTTATATGCTGCTTCAGTGGTTTAATTTCTTTCTCTTCTATAGTGATTTATAAGTGTACTCCAGGGTGTGTCTCTGAAACCGTACATAACAGTTTATGTGGGGTGGTTGTGTTTCCAATTTTTGGCGACATCTGTCTCATGTTACTTTTGAGTTTTGATGCATTCATTGATGCATTAAGTCGCTTTGGACAAAAGCATCTGCCAAATAGATGTAATGTAAAGAGCTTAAATGGCAGCACTTCACGCAAATCAGATGCACATGCTACTGGACACATTTACATCTGCTTGAAAAATTGAAAAACAATTCTATAAAAAAAATTCTGTCTACCCCCAGTAATTTGTGGTTGGCTTTCTTAAAATTTACCATAATGTCTTGGCAAAAAGATTACCCCTAATCTGCCTTCTATATTATGTTAGATTAAGATCTGATCTGGGACCAACCGAATCATAAATAAATGAAAGATTTTAGCTTTTTCATTGTGAGTGTGTTTGCTCTGACAATTTCTACAGTGTATACTGTAGCTTCGATTATATTCACCATGACGACCGCACAGTTGGCACTGTGTGTTTGCCAAGAGATGCCAGGCCTCAACAATGGTCTTGTAATGCATGTCTGTTTTTTTCCGAGGGAGGGAGAATGGGAGCAAAGCAGAGACTAAGCTCCCTAAATGCCATCCTGAACCTCTTGTTTGGTGACGGCAACAATGGGTTAGGTGAAATGCGAGGTTAGTTACCAGGTGTGCATGGATAGGTCTTAAATGGGGCTACTGCCCACAACCACCCTCCTATTATGTGTTCATTAATGTATTCTTTTCATTATCTGTCACCTTCACCTTAAAACAGGGAACGATATTCATGACAAAAAGGTACGCCGTGAAGGTCAGTCCGCCCCCTCCCCATGAAAATTGAAATCCGGGAGTGCCCGCTTTAATTGCCTGCCGCTTTGACTCCAAAAATGTCTGTGCGCTCCATCTTGGCAGTAATGCTGGCTGCTTAAGAGGCAGGGAGATGAGAAAAAGGAGTAAAGGGTATGAGCCACCCAGAGCTTGCTAACTGTCACCACAGACCCAGAGGGGAGAGAAGGAGGAGGAGAGAGGGGAGGGAAGACAAGGCTGACTGCTCTAACACTCTTACACATATCATCATATCTGTATGATCAGTGGGGTGGAGGAAGAGGGAGGGCAGGTTGAAACCCCGGAGCGGAACTGACGGCTACACCTGTCCTCTCTCCTCCTCTCTCCCTCTCTGTCTTGTTCTTTCATTGTCCCTCTCTCTCGCTCATCTCCCCTCGCCAGGGTCCTCAGGGTTAAGATTGTTTATCTCTCTCTCTCATGTTCTCTTGCTGTCTCTCTGTGCCCTATGGTCCAGTATTCCTCCTGGTGTTTCTCTCTCTCTCTCTCTCTCTCTCTCTCCCTCTCTCTTTTTCCCCACATGGGTCCCTCCATCCTCCCTGACTCCCCCCTGCCTCCCTGCCGTAGAGATTCTCTCCTAATCCCTGGAAGTTTGGAACTAATGAACTAACTGCTGAGCCGCTGCCACGGAGCTTGGTCCCAAACTATACTGTACTTCACACTCGATTTCCTCTCCAGATGGCATGGTGGCGCGGCCGACACGACGGGGAGCACCTCTCACACACCAGCACGCGCCTGCAAATGCACACGAGTAGACAAGACATGCAGAACACAAACATGCACACATGGCAGAGCGTGCACATGCAGACACATGCAGACATTCACACACAAATGCACGCACAAGCACATACACAAATTGTTACAGCCCACTGTACGTCAGTCAAGCATGACAGAGGACCAGTGTCCTGCATTCACTTTCAGCACATTACAGAATCAGGGCCACTTGTTAGTGTTTAAAATGAGTTCATTCACGATTTTGTTCATCTGAAGGTTTATAAACCATCTCAAATAACTTTGTTGATACAGATCAAACCCGCAGTAGCATTTATTGGGCCCACGTGGAAGCTAGAAACCCATCATTCCTGGATACAGTTTTATGAGTACATTCAATTCAATTCAATTCAATTCAATTCAATTCAATTCAATTCAATTCAATTCAATTCAATTCAATAGTACATGGATATGATTTCATCCAAACCTACTTGATTCCAAGTTTAATTGGTGCAGTTACTCTGTTTGATGGTCCTAATTAGCAAAAGAATAGGAATTAAATTTTAGAGGAGAGATTAGAGATTGCAATTTAAAGTCATTTTTTTCCCATTCTTTTTAATTAATAAACAGTTACAGGTACGTCATACTTCATGACACAGATGTACATGAAGTACTGATTATTGTTAATTACCAGCCATCTTCCATGTTGTACTTAAAGAGTTACCATATAAACATATAATATAATTCAGTCTTATGCAGTCCTAAGACAAACTACAGCTTCATAAAGGACGCAATTATTGTTGGTCAGTTGTATTAAAACTGTAACGTCTTATGCAAGAAAGGGTAGTCATAGGCCTAAATTGCATCTGGTGTATTGAGATGACCGTTTCACATAATGAAAGTCACAGTAAAGTGAAGGTTGTGAGTGGTAAAATCACATTTACTAGTCATTAGTAATGTA